CTAGGTCACTCTCTTGCACAGAAGGTGCTGGCCTGCATCAGTAGGGATAATTTCTTCACCCAAGACTTCCCTATACGAATGAAATCACAGTTATAGTCCCTAACACTAAGAAGGAAAAACTGGTGAGTGATACTAAAGTGACACACAAAAAAAACTGAGAAAATTGATTGTGACTACATCATCTTAAAGTGTATAAGGGATAGGAGGTGGAGCTGTGATTTCAGTGACTGCACCTATGATTTTAATAGTATAGGGAACTCTCAGGTGAGCAAACTCCCTTCACCAACTTATAGTCTTAGAGAAGTGCCCAGGGCACTGAGAGGTTAAATGACTTGCCCAGGGTCACACAGCCATTACATAGCAGACCATATGCCCACAGTTACACAGACATTATGTAGCTGACCCCAAGGCTAGCTCTCTATCCACTGTGCCAGGCTGCCTCTCCAGCATATGCGAGAGAAAGGAAAAGAACACAGGCCACAGTCATTTACCCTAAAATTGATTAAAACTGATTTTAAGTCAACGGTTGATTTTAAATCAACTGTTTTTTAAATTAGCTGTTGATTTTAAATTCAACAAAAAGATAGTCTTTTACCTACCTGGATTTACACCCAATAGAGAATAAATATGTCTAAATTAGAAGGGATAGTACAAGAACAAAATTCTGACTATATAATTTGTGTCCTGAGAAGGAAACTTTGTGTTTTAATGCACATGGGGTTGAGAGGAGAAATACCTAAAGGAACACTGTGGTATTATAAGTTATCTGATGTCTCATTATCTTAAAAGAAAAGGAACAAGAGATGGACAGACACAACAAAAGGAGAGAGATAACTGTATAGGAATACTATGAAGGAAGAGTAAAGCTCAGAATTAGCTTGTGAAAACTGCTAAAGATAATTGGTATATTAAAATTTATGTTTGGAATAAGACTACGGAAGAAGTAGCCATTTGCTTAGAGAAGATAGTATAATGCTAATTGATGACTAAAAGAAAGCAGAACTACTCAAATCTTAGACTGCTCCAAACTTCTCCAATAAAGAGAATGATCTTCAAAGCAGAAACAAAGGGAGAATTACCACCAAGACTAGTGAGGGGGATAATAAAGGTATATCATCTTGCCACTTTAAATCATACCAAACTAATTTAATTCCTTGTAAATTACAGATTACTAGATTAATAATTAGGCAGCTAGGTGGCAGGGGGGGGTACAGTGCTGGGCCTGGAGTCAGAAAGACTTGAGGTCAAATTCAGCCTCAGATATATACTTAGCTGTGTGATCCTGAACCTGAGCAAATCATTTAATCAGTTTGCTTCAGTTTCCTCAATTATATAATGGGGGAAATAATAGTATCTACCTAGTAGAGTTGTGAGAATCAAATGACATAATATTTGCAGCACAGTGCCTGGCACCTAGTAAGCACTATATAAATGCTTATTCCCTTCCCTAGTAGATTAAAGAAATGTCATAAATTGTATCTTGATCTCATCATTTGCATTTTGATTAAAGCATTTGACTTAAAAAATCTCTGATGTTTTTGTGAATTAGATAGTAAAATATAGGCTGGCTAAAACTATATGCAGATAGAATAGTAGATAAAAGTTATATCTAGACTACAAATTAGTAATTTGTTGTTAACAAGGAGGGATTTTTAGTGCAGTGTCACAAATCTATGTGATAGTCAATGACCTTAATTAGGGAAGCTTATCAAATCTGCAAATGATACAGGATAGGAATAGCTCATATTTTAATTCAAATCAAAATGTAAAATGACATTGACAGATAAAGCCTAGACTGAAACCAAAAAGATGAAAACTTTTTTTAAATGAGCAAAGGCAGAGCCTCACATTAAAATTTTGAAAAATCAACTGCACAAGCACATGATAAGGAAGGTTTGGCTTGGTAACAATTCATATAACAAAGACTTGGGGCTTTTAGTTGACACAAAGGCCACACAATTTTAGGCTGTATCAATAATATAGTAGGATACAGCAAAGAAAAACTCATTATCAATAATCACCTGCAAGTGTGTTTAAATTCTCTGAAAATTATAGATAATTAAAGAAATAGGTATAACAACTCTAAAATACTCCCTTATGTCTATTAAATTGGGGCAGGGATAATTAGAAATAATAAAATTATAATCTGGTGGGAATGTGGAGCAATTAATCAAATAACACACCATTGATTTTAGAAAGCAATACAGCATAAAAAATAAAAGCTACAAAATTGCATAGTCTATGACCCAATGGTTCAATTCCCTACACCAACTATTTCTTATTTACAACATGCAAGGAACTGTGTACGGCATTGGAAAAACAACGATAAATATGAAACTTAAGTGGTGGCCATTCTACCTGAGGTACTCACTACTAGGACAATATCCAAGGATGTACTAAGAGTAAAAAGAGACTTATCTTTTCCAAAAATATCACAGCAGCTTCACTCCTAACAGCAAAAAATTGAAAGCAACCCATGTGTTCAACAACTGAGGAATGATTTTTAAAACTGGTTATATGAATAATTCAAAATTATTGTACCCTAAACAATGAACAACTATGAAGAATACAGAGATATACAAAGACCTATGAAATGAAGCAAAGTGAAGAAAGGATAATCAGAACAATAGAGCCTGCTACGTAAATAAGCAAAACACTGGCAACAAAATATACTTACAAGGAGTTCAGAAAGAGATTAAGAAGAAAAGAGGATTATTATTAACTTTTTAAATGATCAATTCTATTTGATAAAACTGTAAATGACAAAAATAGATAAAAATAAAGATAATGGGAATCCTATTCTCTGTGCAGATCAGCCATCAGGAGTACTATGTCTAGATCTAGGCACCACATTTTAAGTGGGATATTGAAAGTGTAGAATATCTCAAAAGAACCCACAAAACCATGTAATTAGGAAAACAGTTGTAAATACTAGCGATGTTTTTCTTGGAGAAGAAATGATTAAAGGAGTTATTACTGCCCTCCAAATATGTAAAGGGCTATTATGCAGAAGAGGAAAATAGATTTTTTTATGTTGTTACTGAAGGCAGAACTAGTACTAATGGGTAAAATTCATGAAGAGAGATTTTTTTGGTTCAGGTGCCAGGCGTAGCATCAAAAATGACCAGAATCTCAAAAACCAGGCCCAACTAAGCACATTTTCTATGCACAGAAGTCTGAGATCTCCTGATATCTGGGTTGGAAACTACAGAGCCTGAGGCAAGTATAAAGTTGAATATAGCATTAAGGACCCAATCACCAGGTATTTATTGACCCAGACAATAGGTTCAAACTCCTGATGCCTTCAACTTCACTCCAAGCTCTCAGTATTCAGAGTAAGAAAATGTAAAGCATCATCATAGGATCCTGAAGAGGGAGAGCCCCAGTAAAATTTTACTTTTTCCTAAAGAATCCCAGTTGGAAGAAACCTCAGGAGCTATCTAATCTAATCTGTATCTGAACAAGAAATGTCTAAAACATCCCTAAAATGTGGTAACCCAGACATTAAAGGCCTCTAGTGGAAGGGGGGTGGGGGGAGGAGAGATTCACTACTTCCTAAAACAATCCATTCTATTTTTGGATAGCTCTAATTTTTAGGAAAATTCAATTCAATGTAACAAATATTAAGTGACTACCACAGGGCAGCTAGGTGGCACAATGGATAGAGCACTGGGCTTGGAATCAGAAAGACTCATCTTACTGAATTCAAATCTGCCTCAAACCCTTACTTATTCAGTCAATTAACCCTGTCAGCCTCAGTTCTTCATCTGTAAAATGAGCTGGAGAAGGAAATGGCCAGTATCTTTGCCAAGAAAACCCCAAATGGGGTCACAGAAAAGTCAGACACAACTAAAATGACTGAACAAGTTACTACTACTACGTGAAAGGTACTGGGCATATAATGATATAGTCCCATGTCCTCAAGGAATTCATATTCTATGGTGGGAAAACAACATATACACAAATAAATACTGGATTAGCAGTGGAGTGAGATCAGGAAAAGATACATAGATTAATATCTGAGTTGTGCTTCAAAGGAAGCTACGGATTCTAAAAAGAAGAGTTGAGGAGGGAATGCTTTATGTTTGCTATAATAAAACTGGAAAGGTAGGTTCATATCAGATTGTGAAAGGCTTCAAATGCCAGGCTAAGAATTATGAGAAAAGTGTGCCTCCCCCTCCTCTTAGCTAAGGATGCTCCAGATTTACATGAGAAAAAAGGCTATCAACACTGGAGATGGTGGCAAGAAAGGTACTATCTTCTAAGGAGAATCAGGTTTCCATTATTGCAAGATTTTAAAGAAAGAGTTATGAGATACAGGAATTTAAAAAAAAAAATTGGGGTCTTTAGAAGGTACAAAGGAATACCTGATCAAAGGAGGACTATGGGAGGGGAAGACTGAGAGTATGGGAAGATAGGAAGAGAAGTTTTTTGCCCCTTTATGTCTCAATCACAGGAATGATGGGAGTAGCAGCTGAGAATCACCCACAACAGAAAAAAATGACTAATTGATAAATACCCCTACCCTTTAGTGTCCTTCAATGACTAAGCACCAAGTCAGTGCAGGTCCTCACTGCTTCTGCCTCTCAGAGAGGCACAGAATCTCACAGTTCTGATACTGGCAGCAGAGAAAGAATAATCTGGCTGCCAGGTTGAACTCATGCTTTAAACTCATCCTCAATTCTCAACCCAAAATCCCCACTGTCATCCCAATGTGTTAGCTATTCCTCCCAGCTTTCTGCCATCTGTACTTTGATAAGGAGATCTGCATTCATTGATCCAACAAACACTATTATGACCTACTGTGTTTTAGGCACAGTCACAGATTGAATATGGGGATATAAAAATAAATACCATAGCTCTTGTGCTCAAGGTTTACAATTTTACAAAGAATAAACATTCAATTATTTGTTGAATGACTGAAACACAATTCACTGCTAGATAAATGAGGCATCACTATATACATGTCTATCCTTAATAGTGTAAATTCTATTTCCTACCTGATGCAGGTGTTGAAACACTACTGAAGAAACTACTTGGTAACAACTCAAAGTTGAAACTGGCCTTGATGGACTTCCTTTTTTTGCTTGAAAAGCCATATGAAGAATCCATTGGTAGTTTTCGTTTTGTCTTAGGTGTAAGAATCACTGGCGTCACTGATGACAGAGCTGTAATTTAAAGTTATGTCGTTTTTTTCAAGAAAGTTATATTTTAACAAAAACATACTTTAACAGAGCATCTAAAACCCCTATTATTTAAAGCTTGCTGGAAAAAAAGTACATCTACCTTTTAAGTAGATTAAGACTAAGGATCAAATAAACATCACAAAGTAAATTAAGGCTATGCAATAGTTTAGATGAAAATAGAATCTCAGTGCTAGCAAACAGTAACCTGAAAGTTAACCAACTGGTGGATTAAGGCAACTATGTTGCATATTATACAAACAACCATATTATATAAGAAAGCTGCACCCAGAGAGCTGAACCAAAAATTTATTGAAAAATTATTTTGAACTTAAACTTGTAACAAAATATGAACAACTCTTCTGAAGTTATACCTACCCTGTCGTATTTTTCAGACTTTATAGTGAACAATTTCGCACACAATTACATATGAACTGAAATATAAACTGGTTCAATTCCCTGGTATAGAATAAGTTAATAATAATAAAAAAAAAGAGTGCCTCCATTTCATTTACAAGAATGTGAGATGCAAAGTTGGATGAGCAACCCCCTTAAGCTATGTTACATGTTTAACAGTACTTAGTTATGAAGAGACAGAAAACTGTTTGAACAGATTAAACTATGGACAAGATGCCTAATTTTCTAATCTCAGAACTTCTAGTACAATATGACCAATATCATTAGTAGTTCTGAGACTCATACATACGAGTCTTTATATGAGGGGATCCCCTATATGAGGGGCTCTTAACTGGGAATCCCTGGTCTCACAAGAAATTTTCAGATAGATTTCAGGGGTTCATGAACTTGGATGGGGAAAAAAAATTACATCTTTATTTCAATATCATTGGTTTCCTTTGTAATCCCATTTATTTCATTTTATATATTTAAAACATATTTCAAGGAGTCTATATCTATATATGTTTATATAGATATAGATGGATTTCACCAGATTGCCAACAGGGTCCATGAAACAAAAAAGGTTAAAAACTTCTCCACTATGCAGTATTCCCAATGAAAATTCTAATTTATTTGGTATTACGTTCGCAATTTTTCCTTACTGTTAAAAAGCCAAATTTTGATTAAACCCAAATAAATTTTGCCAGAGAACAAAGTTAAAGACATACTGCAAAAGCTTCCATCTAGTATTATTATATATAATACCTACCAATTTTCTCTTGCTGAGGTGTAGTAGAGGGCGTTCTGTTAGACTTAAGCTTATTCAGTGCTCCACTAACAAAATCTGAAATGCAAGGCATATAGAAGCAATCATGTCTTGCTCTATTAATACATATTTAATATGTATGTCTTAATAAAAAACAAATTGCATTAGCACATACATTTTAATTAGGTCATTATAAGAAAAATAGTCACATGTGGAATTGATGCCCAGTAATAATGAAATACAAAGAAATTTTGCTCCTTTCAAAAGATAATCTTTTAATTAAATAGTATCTCTCAAGAGAGGATATTTCAATTCAAATACAGTCAACATTATGCTTCTGAGTGTTCCTCAGTAGAAAAAAAAAATCAGAAGGTACTCTTACCTCTGGGAAAATGCTAATTAAAAAGCAAAAGGTTTTAAGGAGTAAATGAAATTGGCAACTAAGTTGTAAATCTTCTGAAACGTGATTTTGGAATTTTAAAGTGAAACAATGTGTAAGGCCAGATGCCAAATATTACAAAATCACATTTATACAGCATTTTAAAGTTTTCAAATGTTTCCCTCACAACTCTGTTTGTGAGATAAACATCATTTTAAAATTTGTTTAAAATAATCAGTAAATGTTGATACTAAAAAATAATTGTACATTTTTCTGAATTCATTTCCAAATAATTCACCCCTTGAACAGTTTTACAATGCTAAAGAAACCAGGCCATTCTGGTGATGCAGGACAAATTCCACCTTAACAAACGCAAGTAAAAAGAATCCTCATTCTGCTTAAACTAGGGAGTAGAGAGACAAGTTAATGTGACAGGCATCCATAAAACCTTTATAACTAGAAAATGTTTTCATTCTAGAATATTAAAACATTTCTTACCTATAAGCTAACATAAGGACATTAAACATTTTATTGCTAAAAAATTGTAGAGCATGGTAAAAAACTAAAGTCAACCCTGAGGAAGACATAGAACGATTTTTACCAGATACAACTTACCTAAAATGAAACAGACAAGACTATAGCCACGAAACAGAAGGCTTGAGTAACTTTCTGCTGCTATCATGCAAGAAATATGAGGTGAAGGGGGTGTTTGTTATTCATAACCCCCATTTGAGTTCAGTCTATTAAGACTTTACTTCTGTGGCTTTAAAGAGTATAATTTCAATGTGGGCTTAAGGGATATACCTGGTAACCAGCAAGAAACTATTGAGCATAATGTCCTCCTTCAATATACCCATATATATAGTTGATGGTTTAAAACACAAAAACTATTTTAATCATGTATAGAGAGCTCAGATATAAATTGTATACAAGCAGGTGGTATTGTAAAATAAAGCAAATTACATTCAGAAGACCTGGATTCAAGTCTTAGGTATACTACTTAAGCTTGGTCAAATTTAACATAATAATCAAACCTAAATATTTGCATATTTCTAAAACCTCCATTCCTAGGTTAATCAGTTTTACCATATCCTCTTGATAAATATTATATGCCAGGTACCCAGTTCCAGGAATCATTGTCTTTTCAGTACCAATATTGATACATTAATTATAGATAACAGAGTCAACATTTATTTACATCTTTATCTTACAATGTTGTCTAGAGAGAAAAAATACAATCCACACACCCATTGAAGAAGCAAGATTCGTGTCATACTGTTTGCCATTATTACCTCATTGATTCAGGGTATTATTTAAAATATGAATAATATTATGCAGTTAATAAGTAGAACAAGGACTTATACCAGATAACCCAGATGTTACTATAGAGAATCAGTTCTGGCTTGTTCGAAATTAACCAGTTAGGTAGGGATAGGAGAAAGAAGGTTGTCAATCTCTTGAAAACAATTAATATTTCAAAGCTTCTGAGCTAATTAACAAGATAACTAAAAATACTTAACTGGAACAAAATATAAAAGGACAGCCTTTGCTGAAACAATAAATCTCAGAGAGGGGGCACTGTAAGGCTAGGTGAACTCTATGAAGGGAAAACTTGACAGTTGATACAAACTACCTTGTCCTTCAAGAGACTTCTACCTCAAGATCACATGTGTCAACAGATCTGGCATGAAACTTAGAATGTAGAAGATTTAAGCTTCTTCCTCGAACCTTCAGAGGGAAACTGAGGGAAGATCTATGAAACTGACTGTTAGAGCTAGAGTTATGAACACTCAGGAAGTACTAGGATAGAAACTAACAGGAAAGTGATCTTGTACTGGCATGATGGCTGGGTGCAGATAAGAAGTATCTGATACATAGAGCACTATCTTTTGACACAGATGAGGGCACAAAAAACTAAAAGGAAATAGGGCACTCTTCCTTTTCCCTCCCAGTAACC